GGCGGACAGAATGGGATCGAGTGAGATCCTAACCACAACAGTGAGGGTCAAACGCCCACTTGACATGCTTATATACCTCACTTCATAAGGCCTATGACGTACTGATGATCGGTAACGACCGTGAAACAGCTGTCTGCGTCTGGCCTGTTGCACTCTTAGCGAGCTGCTCATGTATTATATGTGGTATGTGTCCTCTGACACAGCGTTCGTTGTCGCCAGTAGCAAGCTGGCGGGCGGACAGAATGGGATCGAGTGAGATCCTAACCACAACAGTGAGGGTCAAACGCCCACTTGACATGCTTATATACCTCACTTCATAAGGCCTATGACGTACTGATGATCGGTAACGACCGTGAAACAGCTGTCTGCGTCTGGCCTGTTGCACTCTTAGCGAGCTGCTCATGTATTATATGTGGTATGTGTCCTCTGACACAGCGTTCGTTGTCGCCAGTAGCAAGCTGGCGGGCGGACAGAATGGGATCGAGTGAGATCCTAACCACAACAGTGAGGGTCAAACGCCCACTTGACATGCTTATATACCTCACTTCATAAGGCCTATGACGTACTGATGATCGGTAACGACCGTGAAACAGCTGTCTGCGTCTGGCCTGTTGCACTCTTAGCGAGCTGCTCATGTATTATATGTGGTATGTGTCCTCTGACACAGCGTTCGTTGTCGCCAGTAGCAAGCTGGCGGGCGGACAGAATGGGATCGAGTGAGATCCTAACCACAACAGTGAGGGTCAAACGCCCACTTGACATGCTTATATACCTCACTTCATAAGGCCTATGACGTACTGATGATCGGTAACGACCGTGAAACAGCTGTCTGCGTCTGGCCTGTTGCACTCTTAGCGAGCTGCTCATGTATTATATGTGGTATGTGTCCTCTGACACAGCGTTCGTTGTCGCCAGTAGCAAGCTGGCGGGCGGACAGAATGGGATCGAGTGAGATCCTAACCACAACAGTGAGGGTCAAACGCCCACTTGACATGCTTATATACCTCACTTCATAAGGCCTATGACGTACTGATGATCGGTAACGACCGTGAAACAGCTGTCTGCGTCTGGCCTGTTGCACTCTTAGCGAGCTGCTCATGTATTATATGTGGTATGTGTCCTCTGACACAGCGTTCGTTGTCGCCAGTAGCAAGCTGGCGGGCGGACAGAATGGGATCGAGTGAGATCCTTACCACAACAGTGAGGGTCAAACGCCCACTTGACATGCTTATATACCTCACTTCATAAGGCCTATGACGTACTGATGATCGGTAACGACCGTGAAACAGCTGTCTGCGTCTGGCCTGTTGCACTCTTAGCGAGCTGCTCATGTTATGTAGATGTCCACGCCACTGACCACAGGGCCACGATCCGAAATATAAAATGGTCAGCGCCCCATACCATTGTATAATCCCGATTGAAACATGGAAGAGGGTCATCGGAAAAGTCGAGCTGCACTCGTGAATTTTCGAGTTGGTGACACCAACCCGTCGTCAGACGAAATGAGTACCAGGGAGAAAGTTAGGTTGTCACAGTAGAGCAGTTGGTGTGATAGGACAGACAGACCACTGACGTGTGAGTGGGGGGCTCCCGAGGTCATGGTAGGTCCCTGAGCGAGGGGGGAAATGAAGAGCAGGCGGAACAACTACGACACCCTGCGGTGGAGGGGGAGGGTAGATCAGTTGAACTGCGGGCGGCTGTATTGGCGGTCGTTGATGCGTCATTAGGGCAGGGGGCAGTCAATCGTGAACGTAGGTCACCGTGGTGGGCATCCAAGTCAACATGGCGGTTGATACTACCCGCATTGGAATATCAAGCCTCGAGAAATTCCCTCGCTCGCTTTGTGTTAGCCATGGCGACGACCTCAGGTGCCATCCCAATTGAATCGGTGGTCGTACTCGAGTGCATGGGCAAAGACGAGAGACAGGGGGTCTCGCCAACGGATAGCTAATTTGTGCTCATCGATACGGATGCCCAGGCATCGACCCATATGACCAAAATATACGCAAGAGCAATTTGCGCACGGGATGTGATAACTTACATTTGTTTATTGCTCATTAGGGAAGAGATCCTCCACTCGAGACAGTGCTGCGCGTAGTGAAGATGCCGGTTTTTGGGCAACGTGAATACCCAAGCGGTTGAACTGCCGGGTGATTATTTCAGAAGTTCCACGCATATATGGCAGGGAAAAGAAGTTTCATGCCGCAATATCTCAATTGGGGGTGGGGTCTTGCAAATATCTCTGGTGCCTGAGGCAGTTCTTTACAAAACTGATCGGACATCCGTTAGATCGAAATAACCGACACAAGTGAGCAAGCTCGTTTTTGGGAGATCGTTGCTGTTGCAATAACGTTAGGCCGGGTGGAACAGAGTTTGGACGCAGCTTCTTTTGTAAGCTGCAGGGTGGTTGCTTCCATGGTTGAGGATAATACCAGAATTAGAGCCTTTCCTAGGGACGCTCGTTGCTAAACTACCATCGCTCAACTTCTGTATCCTCACGTCCAGAAACGGCAAGCTGTCTCCAACTGCCTCTTCGCGGGTAAACTGTATGACTGGGAAGACATCATTAAGTCTCTGGTGAAGCCGTTCGACTTCGCAGTTCTTTATTATGACAAAGGTGTCATCAACGTAGCGAAGCCATAATTTTCGCTTGATAGTTTGGAAAACAACCTCTTCTAGTCGCTGCAACACTAGCTCGGCGAGCAATCATAATATTGGTGAGCCCATCGGCGGGGTCCATTTACCTGTTGGTTGTACTTATTATCGAACTGACAATATTTCCTGAGGCAAAGTTTTAGCAATTCTATAACGTGTTGCGTTGGGATCTCAGTAGGATTGTTCTCTAGGCGTTGGTTTACACATTCGACTGCCAAATCCTGTCGTATGGAAGAAAACAATGCAACGACGTCAAATGTCACGAAACATTCATCAGCGCATACTTTGAGGCCTTTTATCCTGCGGAGGAATGCTTGTGTGTTGTTGATGTTGTAGTCCGATCCGTGAGTGAGCCGCTTCAGATGACTGTATACCAACTTAGCTATATTTTATGTGGGTGATCAGATGAGTGGCACCATAATCCTCAGCGGGACATCCACTTTGGGCACTTTTGGGAGGCCATACGCGTGTGCGATGTGGGGATCACTGAGGGTCATCAACTTGGAGTCATCTGGACTGATAACTTTCAAACGGCGAGCTCATTAACCTTCTTTTTGATGACTACGGCTTGCTTTTTCGTCTGGTCTTCGGCGAGAACTGTACAGGCCCCCATGTTACTAAAGATTTCATTCGTTTGTTAACGTATTTAATTTTGTCCATAATGACAGTAGCGCCACCTTTGTCAGCGGGCACAACAACAATACTGTGATCCAACTTCAATGATCGTAATCCTTGCGCTTCTTCGGCCGGTAGATTTTGTTGGCATCTTTTTGCCGGAGAATACCGATGGCGCAGCTTCGTACGTTCGCGCGCATGTCTTCAGGAAGGTTGGAGGTCAGTAGAATGGACTCAAGCCCAGCTAGGAAGTCGTTAGATGTGGCATCCTAATGATTGAATCCTATTCCCTTTGATAGGAGGGTGATTTCCGCAGGTGAGAGACTCCTCTTCGATAGGTTGACAATTCTCGTGGTAAAATTCCCTTCGTTGCGTCGTCGTCGCGGGGCTCATGACAGAGACGAAAGTGGGAGAAGTTGACGTGACTGGGTTTTCTGTGCATCGCGTCCGAAGGTGTCCCACGAGGCTGATTCGCGCGCGGAATACGCGTTGGCAATTTGAGGAATCTGGAGGTGGCTGACTGTTCGCATTGATGAGTCGAGGTACTTGTGACTTGCGAGCCTCCCTTTTGGCTTTGGCGGTGGCGATTCGGCTTACTTCGTAGATGGCTGCGCCAGTCTTCTCTTTTCCAGGCCGGTCTATTCTGGGTGTGATACTCCCAGGTCTCTGGGTTGATAGGTAACCGCTTCAGATAATTCTTCAAAGAGTACTTTTAGCGTCGTTTTGGCCCTTCCTGTGGGCGAGCACCCGTAGTAACGTGGCCGTAGAAGAGTTGTTTTTTAGACATGTATCTCCCTGACGGCAGTGTCGGACATTGTGGAGGGACAGTTAAAAACGTTTCTGAATTGCTCGACCCAGCGCTTCAGAGTCTGCGACTTCTCTGTCCGAAGAGTTGATCCACCGGAGCTGAGAAGCTGCTTAGTTCCCTTGTTTGGGACCGTAAATCGTCTTGATCTCAACGATGAAGTTCTTTGAGTTTTTGCGGTCGGCGTATCCCTGAATCTCCTCCACCTTGTGGGCCATTCAAACGTTCTGTATTTCTCACACTCATTGTTGCGCGAGGCGTCGACATTGGTAGTAGATGGCTTTGCTGACAATGGCCGGACGCTTGAGGTAGGCTCTGCGCAGCCTGTTCTTCTCAGTGAGCAGGTTATAGATGACCGCGTCGTTGCCGTCGAACCAGTCCTGGTGCTGGCGAGTGCGCGGCCGAGAACACTCGGGGCTGTAAAATGGACGGCGGCCCGTAGTTTGCATCATTGTTCCTCCATAGAGACATCTTCATCAGGAAATGATGGATCTTCCAGCCACAGGGTCAGTAGATTGCTGAAATGCAAACGGTGGCTGGGCGAAAACAACAAGACAGCATTCAACTTACCTGGAGGTCGCTTACCTCTGTGGCCTCCTGCGGAGTCCTAGATGGAGGCTCATATTGGAGATGATGAGGCGGTGGTCCGTCCGGCCATCGGCGTTGCAGATCGCCTTAATCACCATCATCTGCTGCCGATCTCTCCGGCGAGGGAGAACACGGTCAAGTAATTGCTAACGCCACGATCGGGGTGCACCCAGGCGGCCTTTTTCCGCAACGGCAGGCGGAAGAGGGTGTTGGTCAGCAGGAGGTGGTGTTCACCGCAGGTTTGCAGGAGAAGAAAGAGGGAGAGGAAGCCATTGCTGTTGAAACCGGCGATTTCGTGAAGACCCAACACTCCCTCCAGGCAGGACAGTATGTCCCGGCGCAGGCCCTGAAGTCACCGAGGTTAATCAACTTATCCGCCTTTGGCACAACCGCCTGAAAAGTGTACAGATCCTCGTAGAACTTGGTCATTGTCCCATCACAGCCAGCCTTTGCTGGGGCGTAGGCGCTGATGATGGTGTTGAAGTTGGGTTCCCGAAGAGGCAGACGCAGGCTCATCAGTCGATCGTTGATGCCCTGTTGCAGACAGGGCAGTCGTCCCACGATGTTTTTCCGTATTGCAAAGGCGACGTCCCCGTCTTGGCCTTCTGCCATGTGGCGGCCGCTCCAGAAGAGGGTATAGCCGGCAGCACTCTTCTAGTTGGCCTTGTTTTGATAACCGAGTCTCACTGAGTTCAGCGATGGCCACCTTGTAGCGGATCACTTCCCGAGCGATTAGTGCTGTCCTTCGTTCTGGTCGGTTACTCCTGGGATTATCTAAGAAGGAGCAAACATTCCAGACTGACAAAGTGAGTGGGCTCCTCTTAGCAGCCTGGGGGGAGGGGGTGAGACGGAGGGTAGGAGGTAGGGGAATAGGGAGATTATTGCTGCTTGTTTGATTGCTTCAGCCGCATGCACTGCACTCTGCGAACCACAGTCTGTTCAAAGACGTCGTGAACCCGGCATTTGTTCAGGGCGCCTTTTATAACCCCCCCCTCCCCGCGGGGAAGCAGTGCTTTCCTTAAATAGGACTGCTAAATCGCCCCGGCCGGCTGCTGAACCCCACCGTTGATCACGGGTTGGTTGAGTGGGAGGGCGACGCAACTGGCTTGGGTCGCCTACATGATTGCATGCCGCCCTCGCCGTAGGACTTTGGGCCGTGGGGGAAGAGAGAGGAGTAGAGGGTATGGAGAGTAGAGTGGGAGGAGAAGGTGGGAAGGGAGCAGAGTTATCGTGTGTGGGGACACACACTGCACCGGAGACCGTCACCTGATTTAGCCCGCCGGTCAAGGCGGCGGCCGGGGCGGGGTTGCTATGCAGAGTCTAGCTTCGAGGAGCCACATGCAAGAATTGGGTGCCAGTTAATAGACGCTGGGCGCAGTTTACACCTGCAAGCAAGTGAGCGACCTGCTACGACCATCACGTGGGCCCGCAACTGGACACTTCTATACCCCTTATTGTACGTAGTGACCATTCAAGTAATACATGAACTCGGGCGGACATGCATGTTGCACAGGATAAGCACCCTTCTCACAAGTGGGGAATTAAATTCCTGTCAGAGTGCAGTGCAAAACCTAAGAGGTAATGAGTTACGACCAAAAAGATGAATTGTTCTTCCCCGTTCTATTTCGATTTCTAAATTAGGCAGGGGTTAAGGTAAGGATCTAATGAAGGCCCCCAAGTATCTACGGTGTACAAAGAGTGCCGACTATACGTGTTTAAGTAGGTCGTGTTTTTTTCAATACTCTCCCAGACATGGTCGTTCATCGCAGACTCTTGCACATTCGATTGGGAGGCTATCATTCGACCTCCCGTTGCATAACCCACCGTGACCTTAGCTCAGAAAGTTGAGAAACGGCCGCCGCGCTTTACTTTTTTATCGAGGATCATGCCATTCGCTTTATCATTATCTACCATTGGCCGTGTTGCGGCATTTTAGACAGCATCGTGTGAATTAGGCCGTCCATCGTAGAATCTAGCACATGCGATTGAGAAGCTATCATCTGACTTCCCGTCACATAGCCCACCCAGACCCTAGCTCGGAGAGTTGAGATGCCTAACATTGGTTGCGCTGTGATACTTAAGGCAGCATTCTGTTGAATGGGTCATTTATCGTCGACCTTAGTTCACACCATTGGAAGCCATTCGGTAAGGATCCGATGAAGGCCGCCAAGTATCTGCGGCGTACGAAGGGTGTCTACTATATGTGTTTAAGTAGGTCGTGCTGTATTCGATACTTTCCCAAACATGGTCTTTCGTCATAGACTATATGAAGGGAAATTGCAAGTTTTGAGTCCCTCTCTGAAATACTAACCTAATTTTCCTTATTTTTTGGCATTTAACATACCATCCAGATGCCCCACCCGTAAAACCCCTATTACTACCATTCCCGTAAGACAGGCGACTGTGGCTAGTTGGTGGTACTTGGGGGCCTTCACCAGATACTTACCGGGCTTTATTCCCCTTGGCTTCTTTATGGCAAATTTTATTCCTTTACTGGCGTTTAACTGACAGAATTATATTTGGCAGTTGAATTTTCATTACCTTGTAGGGATTTGGTATCGGCACTCTATTTTGCACCAATGAAAGATGCTTTTAAGATCTCGAACCTCCATAAAACAAGACGGAGGTGGACGCGGGCATTAGTACCCCATTTGTGAATAGTTTTGCGGTTGATTCCAGGGGGGGTCTATATCCGCGTCCCAATTTTAACCATTTCCACGACCCTAACGCCAGTGTTAACCCTCACAACCCTAACCCCGACAATAACCCTCCTAAATCTGACCCTAACCATAACCCCCCGGAATTCAGCTCAAGACCGCCTGTAATATGTGGGAAACACCTCTAGCCGTGCCCTATCGAAAACCATGCACGCCTTCACGGTTGTATGTTTTAGATCGCTCTTTGGTCTGGAGTTCCTCGCTGGTCAAATTCTCAGAAGGTGTTACAACGAATTCTGGATGAGATCTAGCCTTGCATTATGGCACAACCCATTACCCAGCTGCCCTTTTTCCCGACAAATGTTCTCTAAAAATTCTGGCGGTCAATAGGACGCGGGACGGCCGCCACGGCAAACTATAGATGCGCCGAACGCTCACCCTGTTCCGTAAAAATATCGACGAAACAATCAAAGAACGGATTTTAAGGGTTTCGCCCACACAAGCATACAGCTTACTGTTGGCACATTCAAGGCTTATCATTGGCAGCAAACTTAGTAGCTAGCCCCATCCAGCTGACGACGAGCAACCAGATGACGTCATCTTCAGCAACACCTACTTTTTGGTCACCTACGTTATACAGATTGTTCGACAACTGCAGACTACGACCACCATCTCCTTAAACGGTATTCTAAATGACACGGCAAGCTTGACGCGAATGAGCGGGACGAGGTTGCCTCATTTTTGCCTTCTACGGACGTGACTGGCAAGTACACGCCAATGTGCGTCGCACTCGTGCCGTGGACATGGTATAGTGCGCTTTCCTTGTAACTTTGAGCACAATTCTTAACTTACTCGGTTCATGACCACACCGCTGCTGATGATGCATCCTGAGCGGACGGTACCGACGGGTTGGTGGACGATGGATAAGTTTTCTTCACTGGTTGGGGCAGGAAGATAGGGTTGTCTTTCGCCTGTTCAGAAATTCCCTTGCTAAAATCTCTGTTTTGCTTGCCACTTTGTCAGAGCGGGCATTCTATCTCATTTAATGTTGTCCGTCCAATTCTGCCCTACAGACCTTTGTTTTGAAATCGTGCTATTGCCAGTGATTGCAAAAAGCAGGCATTTTCTGATCACATAATGGAAGAAAATGCTGTGTTAATACCTAATAAGTCTGACTACCCTGAGGATCTGACTATTTCTTCACTGATCAGCCCTGCCTAGTAAACCGGTCGATGAGACTTGCTTTCGAAAACCAGTCTGCTAGTGTGTTTAGCAGTTGCGAGATCTTGCGCATTATTATTATTATTATCCACCTTTGAATTGCATGGCTTGGATGGTCCTGTGGAAGACCGTTTCATTTGAAATAATCTCCGATGGTTTAGTTCGTGACAAGAATAGATGAGGCGTAAATTCGCAAATAAGTGTGTACCAGTACACCTAGCAAGGTGGCGGAGACGGATCGTCCAGTTTCACTCGGCGACCAGTTTATTTCATCTTAAAATTCTAATCCATCCATAATTGACAGTCTTTTTGCACAACCACACTTATCTTGCTGCTCATTTAAGTTGGAAGGCAGTATATTAAGGGAAGATAAGACGGGTCCTAATAATAAGTAGCTTCGGCACAGGCATCACAGAAAACAAAACGTACATCTCCGAAGATATTCTGTCTGACTGATCTTGATGTGAAGAAAGGGAAAAATAATTCTCGGGCTAAATAATGTTTGTTAGCTGGTTGCTTTTTTCACGAATTCCTTTATCGGATGAGAGCGAATATGCAAATTCCAGGTTCCTGTTGTAAAGAAGATGAACACACGATCTCTGGGACAGTACATGCATTAGTCTGAGCTTTCGGTCTCGGGGGCCAACGTCAGAGACTGTCAGAACGCGGCGTCAAACGAGCAGTTTTTGCAGTCAAGCCATGAGGGGGATAGGAGTGGGGGGGGGGGATGGTGTTGGCGATAAACCGAGTCCACGCCGTCTCACGGCGGCTTGACTGCGTGCACCATTGGCCGGGAATTGGATCTCGCCTCTTGGCCGCGGGAACGGAACGCGTGTCAACGTGTCTATTGGTAGAGTTGGTGTCAGACGCCCAGGCCTCCAGCAGTTCACGCCCTGTCTTATTGCTAGCCCGCGCCACTGTCCGCGTGCTCGCGAAGTTGAATTCCTGGCCTTCCTCCAGGGTGTGAGTAGCAATCTGAGACAGCGGGTCGCCTCTGCGGAAAGCCCCTTTTTGCTCCGTCATTCGTGAGCTAAGCCGTCGTCCGGTCTGTCCCTGCACTCCTATTCCCCTCCCCTCATCGCTCATTTGACGCGGCATTCTCACAGTCTCCTGCCTACACTGTCACCGCATGTTTACCTCACACATCGGCCTGGTTGGTCACCTGCTAATCCGTCGCCTAGAGACCGACGAACCAGTGCCTGGAACACCAGCACACATCAGGTACCGTTGCCTCAATTGCTCGCATTCAACCATCACATGATCCTTTTAGACCACATGCACCCCTAAGACAACCTGTGGTATATCACCGCTGAAATGACCATGTCACCTCACATTCGCCGACAAACACATGAACACCTTCAATATCGCACACCACGGCACCTCTCATGTAAGTGGGAAGTGTGTTTTAAACTCTTTTTCCGTGCGTCCCCTCTGCTGCATGTGAGATCCGGGCGGTCTACCTCCCTCGTGTGGAAAATACCGGTGCGCCTGGGGGCCATGTCGTGTTTGTGGCACACGCAGATGTGCTGTTATCAGCTCTGTTAACCATTCCTTCCAATCTCAGTTGACTGACGGGCTGGGAGAGTACTGACACGCGGGATAGGGTACGGCGAGTGAGGTGGACTCAGTGCATAATTCCTCACTGCAAACAGTCTGACAGGGTTGGAACTATTGAGGTGCGCTAAAGGCCGTGATTTGGAAGGTTACCAATTAGAGATTAATCTCAGGCCTCTC